GCCCATGAGATTAAATTGATTGAGGCTGATCCCCATGGTGCGGCGGAACTGCTGAAATGGGGGTTGAACCTCCTGTTGGTATGAGAGGATGGGATGGGAGGAAAGGTGATAGGTGAGATTTGCAGGATATCGGACCGACTCCTGGACCTCCACCACCGTGAGGGATTGAGAATGTCTGGAGTGTGAGTAAGGTTCTCAATAATTTATGTGATTGGTCGTTTCTTTAACGACACTAATCCGTGTACAGGTGTTCAGTGGGGGTTCATTTTAGGAGCGTGGTAATGAGTATATCAAGAGGGTATTGGGGACCCGAGAGGAGAGCTTGGGGGTAGGATGAGAATGACGACCACGAACAGGTGGGAAGGGGTTTGTCATGTGTGTAGATAGAGAAAAGGGGAAAAAGAAAAGATCTAACCCACCTTGTGCAAATTTGTATGACTGACATCACCCCCAACCCTTCCTAAACTCGTCAAACCCACTAAAGAATTACAATTCGCTCCATCCACATAAACCTGTCCACCGTTCTCATGAACAATCCTACAGGCTTCTTCTATACCTTCTTCGAACACACCAAAAGTCGAAGGATAAGTAACCATGAACGCCGCTAATTCATCTTTATGTTTCTCGGCTTTTTCCTTCAAATCATTCAAATCCAAACTCCCATCTACCAAAGCTTTTATAGGTACAACTTTGTAAGATACCATAGCTGCACTTGCAGGATTGGTACCATGTGCAGAGAGTGGTATTAAACAAACATTCCTATGACCTTCTCCTTTGGATTGATGATAAGCTTGAATGACTTTCAATCCTGCATATTCACCTGAAGCTCCTGAATTCGGTTGAAGAGAAGTAGCGTCGTAACCCGTGACCAAAGACAAATCTCTTTCTAATTCTGTGAACAATTGTTTGTATCCCTTTGCTTGATCGATAGGAGCGAAAGGATGAACTCCACCAAATTCTTTTGAAGAAATGGGTACCATTGAAGATGTCGAATTGAGTTTCATAGTACATGATCCAAGTGGGATCATACCATGTACTAGAGAATAATCTTTTTCTTGAAGATGCATCATATATCTTAACATGTCCGTTTCAGAATGATGTTTGTTGAAAACGGATTGTTGGAGGAATCTACTCGTACGTGTTAATTTCCCTAATGATTGTGAAGGTTCAGAGACCGAGTTCGAGTTCATACTCAATTCCTTGGAGAGTTCTTCGAGCGATTCAGGTTGGATTAAAGGTTTGGTAAGTGCCGCATAGAAAACATTGACAATATCCGTCAAATCGAGAGGACCGACAGATTCGTCCAATGTGATACCGATAGTCGTGGGTGAGATATGACGGAAGTTTATGCCGACTTTCGTGGAAGTCGAATGGACCTGGTCGGCAGAAAGACCGGCGGAGGACACATCAATGGTAAGCGTGTCGAAGTAAGAGGAGTTGACAATTTTGAACCCTAGATTATCTAAAGATTTGGCAAGGACACGAGCCAAAGAATGAACTTTGCCGGCGATACGCTTCAGACCTTCGGGGCCGTGGTATACAGCATACATGGCAGCCATGTTTGCCAACAAGGCTTGTGCAGTGCATACATTCGAAGTCGCTTTTTCACGGCGTATGTGTTGCTCGCGAGCTATCACATCAGCATCAGCTAGAAAGGAAAAAGATTTGAACCCACTTTGAAGAGCCAAACGGTATGCCGGTTCCCCTCGAGCTCCTTTACTCAAACCCACAAGTCTTCCAGGCATTTTCCGTTTCATCTCATCGGTGCAAGCGAAGAAAGCAGCATGAGGACCTCCGTATCCCGCTGGCACGCCGAATCTTTGCGAATTCCCACACACGATATCCGCTCCCCATTCACCGGGCGGTTTGAGCATCGTCAAGGCCAAAAGGTCACTCGCAACTACCATCTTTCCTCCGACCGCTTTGACAGCAGCGGTCACTCCTTCCCAGTCTCGAATATCCCCATTCACGTCTGGGTATTGAACCATGGCTCCCATCAATTGGGCTTGACCCAAGGTCTCCACTTCCTTGACGAAGGTAGCATCGCTCTCCGCAACTTTCAAAGTGATACCAAATCCATCAGCACGAGTCTGGAGCACAGCGATGGTCTGAGGTGCCACAGAAGGTGAAACGAGAAAGACTTTCTTGCCCTTGTTGAATGTTGGTTTCGGGACTGACGCCAGACACATGGCCATTCCTTCTGCGGCCGCTGTCGCTTCGTCGAGTAAAGACGCGTTGGCTATTGGCAGACCGGTGAGAGAGATGGCGACTGTTTGAAAGTTGATGAGTGATTCCAACCGACCTTGAGATTGTTCGGGGGAATAGGGGGTGTACGCAGTGTACCACGCGGGATTTTCGAGGATCTGCAGAATTAATTTTGGATCGTCAATTGAAGTTTTCAATACACTTCTTTTGTTAAATGCACCAAGAGGAAAAAAAGGAAGGAAGTAGGGAGGAAAGAAGTGAGAAGTGGTAATATTCATGACGACTCACGTTTCGCTGGATTACAGGAGGCACGATAGCATTATGATATCCCATACCGATATAACTCTTCATAGGTTTATTCATCCCCGCCACTTCGTCAACCCTTCGACTAAGCTCCAACTCGCTATACGGTCTCAAACCGTTCGTAGGGTCATCGCTCAACTCGTCCACGCGCACTCCTTGTGGTATGGTATCCGCCACAAAGTCGTCGAGGGATTTGTACCCCAACACGGACAACATTTGTTCGACATCGGAGTTGCGTGGTCCCAAATGACGAGGGAGGAAAGTGTCAAGAGGAGTGAAGACGGATGATGTGGGAGGGTGGAAAGAGGCCGAAGGGGGTTTAGGATGAGGTTGAGTGGCTGTTGTGGATGACTGGCGGATCGGAGTCGGAGGACTGAATATGATAGGTGAGGTGGAGTGGGAGCAGCGATGGAATGGGCGAATTCGTGTGCGCGTCGCGGTACGTCTAGACACTAGAGCTAGGGACATGGCGGGGAGAAGTAAGAGGAAGAGAGATTAGGAGGAATAGAGGTGTGATAGGTTGAGACGGCAATGATAAGGGGGGAGGTCCGTGATGTTTTCCAATCGTTGAAAGTTTCTTGGAAATTCGGACGATCGCGGCGATGGCGAGGGGACGTGACGCGTGCCTGAGTTGATACAGTATATATGTAAGCTCTCTTGCTCTCTACAGCTGTCAACAGTAGTCTTAGATGGTACGTTGGTAACCCTCAAGGTAAACAGAGGACGTATGACAAGTGGGACGAGAGATCCTTCGTATATATGTACTCGTATTCTACTCTTGGCTCATCTATCAAACATCAGGCCATCCAAGTGAACATTTCATCAGTCGAGCTCGCTTAAGCCAAAATGATAAGAAAAACGGCGATCACCGCTTTTTCAAAGGCACCCCCAACCCCCCTCCACAAAAATTTCCACACTCGCTTCATACCATCCCACATCACCATAGGTACATCATGGGTAGGAGAAGAAGAAAGAATAGAACTCATCTCAAAGGTCCTGCAGTGGCAGAATCAGAACAGAATGTACCCAGTTCTTTCGTCATCAAAGTGAGTGAACCAAATCTTTTCGAAGTCAAACTTCCAAATCGGAAACCCAACTGACTTGCAGTCGGGGAAAGTCACTCGTTCCATCTCCCAACTCGTCAGAGATGTTAGGAAGATCATGGAACCCAACACTGCCACAAGATTACGTGTGAGCCATACCCAGAGGATGTTGGTGATATCTGCTGAAGAGAAAGGAACGTGTCAATGCTCGATTAAGAGATTACCTTGCTGTAGCTCCTTCCCTCGGTGTCACTCACTTGCTCGTTTTCACCTTGACAGAAGCTGCCAACGTCCATCTCAGAATAGCTCGTCTACCTCAAGGTCCCACATTAACCTTTCGTATCAGTCGTTATAGTCTCATGAAGTGAGCTCCAACCTCCTTCATTGATATGTCAGTTATACTGACCAAGAAGGGATCTTGTCAACTCGGCTTTGCGTAATGTCGGTAAACCGCCAGGAACAGAATACATGAATCCACCTCTCGTGAGTCACACTTTGATGACTCAAAATCAACGATGAAACTCAGGGCTGATGGGCTAGTTGGTATTGAACAACTTCCAACAACCTGCAGAGGGACCTGCGCTGCCACAGTTAAAATTGATGAGCACACTATTTCAAGGATTATTTCCTGCTATCCAAGTGGAGAAGGTGGGTCTCGTCTCTTTCGACTATCATAACTACCCCTGCCATTCACAAAGTTCCTGTTCTTTGACGCTGAACGCACACGTAATACTTGCTCAACACATCCACACCATGTGTTCAAGCGGGAATTTGGGACAGTTCCTCTCGTTTCTTTCCACACAGAAACCAAACGCGCGAAGTACTCTGATACTAACAAATCAGTCCGCCCTCCCCACTTTCCGACGTGTCCTTCTCATCTCTTACTCCCCAGTCTCTCATCTTATCTCTCTCCGACACTACACCATAACGGTCCGTCCCCACGGTGTCTCCCGTCGGGTTCGTAAACTCCTCAACTCCACATCGGTACATACTTCCGCTAAAAGACCTCAGTTGGCAAACACAGACGACCTCGCGGATTATCTTCTTCGTGGTCGGGGTGGGACACCCGGTTCAGACGGACAAACGGCAGGATACGATTCCATGTCCGAGACGGATAATAGTGAAGCGGAGAGTGACAGTAATGCCGTAGAACTTCCTGAAGATTATGTTGGGAGGGGAAACAAAAAAGGAGAGAGAAAGGCTGTGAGGTTGGTAGAGACTGGCCCGAGGATAGAAATGAGGTTGATCAAAGTGGTCGAGGGGTTAGTGGGAAGTAGGAAGGGAGAAGGTGAAACAGTGTTTCATGAGTTTGGTAAGTTTCTTTTCAAACTCTTCATGTTCTTCGATAATGTCACCATCAAAGTACATTCATTGTGATCAGTATCTAAGTGAACGATCGAGCTGACATTCAGTACATAAAAGTAAAACCGAGTCCAAAGCTCTTCAAAAAGCCCATCAAGAAAGACGTAAGATCAAAGAAGCTCGAAGGGCCGAACAAGCCGCCAATGTTGCTCGAAAGAAAGCATTGCAGGGTGGTGAAGGGGAAGACCAGGAGGATGATGGTGATGACGATGTCGATGTCGAAGGTTTGTCCGACGTCGACCCTGAAGAGGCACTAGAAAAGATTCGGAACGAACAACATAGGATGGAGGAGGATGAAGAAGAGTTTGATTATGAGGATGGTGTAGATCTACAAGTCGAACAGGATGACGAGGATTGGGATGACGAGATCGGGGTGGGTGAAGTTTCGTCCGAAGAAGAAAGTAGTGAAGATGAGGAAGAACCGGTCAGGAAAAGGAAACAAAATCGTTGATGAGTTTCGATTGTGTTCATAGTGCGCTATGTGAAGACTGTATGCATAGATTTCATGGACGGTCTATAGAAGCGACAATGTGAACAATGGAAAGGTTGATAATTTTATAGATTGACGAGTAATGGAAGACCTGTCCCGACACGTTTTCGATACTGTACGTAATCATCTCCGAAGAATTTGACGAGGTATTCCTCTTCCGCTGATCGTTAGAGCTAAGTTCGTGGATGTTCTAAACCGAGACAAAAAGCAAGTATTCATCCCCCCATCTATTATGGACAACATGTACCAGAGATGTCCCAACGTAAGTGTTGAAGTTGAGTCATTGGTAGAGTGATCACTGATGAAAAGGCCGGGGAATCGGAGTGAAGTTATTGATGGGGTGATCACTGACAAGAAAGCCGGGAATATTGATTTTGAGTCCCGGTAGAGGAAAATCACATTGTGTAATGATGAGAGCATACGAGACGAGTGCAAGGAGTAGAGCAAGAGGAGAAATCATACTCACCTATAATTCGTCTTGTGAAAAATCGACCGAGGACAACGATGAACATTAGTGTAGAAATGATATTACCCAGTAAGAGTTGAGTTGATATTGCCCAATAAAAGAATCCTGCGTAAGAAGGATGACGTGTCCAGCTGGTCATTAGTCACTATAAAAGGTCGTACAGACTATTTTTTTCCCTTCTGAACGGTCATAGAGAATTCGTTATACAGGGCGGTTTTAGTGACTAGATCCGGCCAGGGTTGGGGGAAGTGAGAAGTGGTAATGAATGGCTATGGGACAACGAAAGGATTTTCGTTATATAATTTTGACGTGTTGTTAGATCGTATCGACCTGAGAGATGTGGGACAAAGGGCAAGGCAACCGGGATAAGGAGGGAAAGAGGAGGAACGGGAAGAAAAGCTCGTACATACCCATACACTCCCCAAGTCACAAGAACATGATCATCAAGTTTTATAGTTTTGATTAAATGACTGAAACTGGAAGAAGCTTGAATCATCGCTATTGACCGAAGAGCCTGAGATAGAAGGAGAAGAGTAGTTACTAATTGTCAATATTTGATGTCTTATTGTTGGATTCCCGTTGATGCGTTTCCCTCGACCCTCCCAGCTCAGTTTTCAAGGGAAAGGTATCATAAATACACATCAATTACAAAGCGTAGAACGCATACCAAAGAAACAAGTCTTTTTTGAGATATGAAAGTAAACACGGGATACGGAGGTGGTCTGAAGGGAAGAGGAGGGGGATGGCTCATGACTCACTGCCCAATATGGCCAGAGGGGAACACCATTTAGAATGAAATTTGTTGGGCCAAAAGTAAGATGAAATGAAATATTCTGCTAAACCGAATGCGTGGGCGTAATGATATTCTTTCCCATTGTTTATCAAGAATGCTATTCATCATTCAATTCTTCCTAATTTTGACCGTCTGCGGGTGGATCTATACATGCTAGTTCAACATATCAAAGAATGGAGTGAAAGGTAATAATGAAGCAACGGTGCCCATGTAAGCTTCATTCCCGGTGGAAAAGAGAAGTTTGGAATTGAAGAGAGAAGTAAGTAAACTCACAATCCACGCTTAATTTTTCTCTGTTCCATCCCGCCGTAGTCCAAAATTCCAATAAATGGAATAACCCCATAGCTGTCATATACATCCCTAATTGTGGTCTAACCCATTCCCAATCCCATTTGCCTATGCTCAAACACCTGATCAGAGGTAAGAGAGTAATAGTAAGACCGATAGATACTAGTCCTCCCAGAGTAGCAGCTATGATACTGGCCACCAATGGTGTATTAGGTATGTCACCCTTGACTTTGTAGTGGTTAGTCGGAGGGAGATGAACATATTGAGGTTGAGATTGTTGTTCCGGACTTTGATTGGGACCGTTTACTTTCTCCGTCGGTTGAGATGATTTGGAAGGATTGTTGGTAGTCATCTTGAGTATTTTGATCGGATTGTCTCAAAACGAAGAGATTAATGAAGGGATAAGACATTTCCCATAGTCACTCCAAATTGTGAATAGAAGAACAAAAGAGTCTTTTTGACCCAACGTTCAATCGCGGGGCTCCAAGTGTAGGGTCCGTGTTGAAGAAATAGGCGAGCGAAGGAAAATCTTCTCCATCACGCGCGCCTATGAATCATGTCACTCTTTCGTGTTGTGTGAGTCAAGATTCAGATCAGCTTAACCTTCGTATCATCTCTTCAACTCTTTCCGTCGTGTTTTTAGTCTCTTTCTGTCGGTCATAAATCTGAGAAGAGCCTCATATACATTCTTTCTGCATCTCAAACGACCGAAAAATGACTTCAAACCCATCGGTGAGTAGTCCCTTCTCTTCCCCTCCATGTCGGGTTTCTCAACTGCATCCTTCTGCCGGAAAACACGTGCTGATGATTATTAGACAAGAGAACTTCGTTATGGAGTCTTAGAACTCCTTCGAACTAGAGACGAAGCTATCAGGTGGGTTCATAATCTCCTCATATCGTTCTCAAATCAATCGAATATGGCTGACTGAGGTTTAGATCACTACGAGGAGAATGTGATACGGCTTTACGGGACCTACATGGTCTGTTCAGCCGACAAAGGACTGCTGGAACAACTTTTCCATCTATCGAAGAGTACGCGGAGATGGAAGGATCATCATTCGAAGTTTGGGCGGAACCTTACATTTTGGGGTTTGGGTAAGACATCATTTCTCTTCAATACTTGGGAATAGGCTGATCATCACTAGGTCCTCCAGTATTTCAACATTGAAATTACCAGAATTACCACCTTTATCACCTCCACCCACTACGACCATTTTCCCTGATGAGAAGGTCGAATCTCCCAAAGCATCTTCCTCCCGATTACCAGAACGACCTGCTGAACTTTCTCGATCCAATTCAAGAAGACGGACTCTCCCTCCTGATTATATTCCTATAAGACCAATACAATCACTCCCGAAAACTACAGCTCTCCCTTGGATCTTAGCGGATACTTATCGTCCTGCATCTTCACCTACTCAATCTCCCATACCTAAATTCTCCCCTCTCGTCACTGAATACTCGGCTTCTCTTCCGCCATTACCTCCTATACCTGATCAACCCAAAAGGAAGAAACGAAAACATCATGATGACTCCTCTGCTTATCGTCTGGCTTTAGAATTCAGTCTCAATCCGTTGACTGACGGAACGGCCAGACCGAGGAAATGTATGATGACTAATGATTGGAGAATCGCCATGAGAGAGCTGAGACATGTTAGAGCTATGGAGAAAGTACAGGAGAAGATGGAAGAAGGGAGATGGTCTTTGAGACAACCAAAAAAATTGAAAGCGCCACATGTACCAAAAGGTCATTGGGATTATTTGCTTGAGGAGATGGTGAGTACCCATCTGGTCGTATTCCCCACATTGGCATAGTGGATGGTGTTATGGTAGTCCTCCTGAGTGCGATCTCATCATCACTAAACGCTCTTGTCCGAAAAAGCAAAGATGATAGGCGGTCGGAGACGACTTAGGATATGAGAACCTCACTGACTTGCAGGAATGGATGCAAACGGATTTCGTCGAGGAAAGACGGTGGAAACGAGCCCACGCTTTTGAATTTGCACTCCAGATCGTAGAATGGCATTTGGCCTCACCGGAACAAAAATCTTCTCTCATGGTTGGAGGAAGAGGTTGGAATGAGAGTTCACACATTCCTATCCCAGGCAAGGCCGCCCCAGCTTCCCCATCCGGAGAAGACGACGTGGAGATGCTGGTCGGAGGTGAAGGTGATGTGACTGGTGCTCAGGTGCTGCAGGAGATAGCCGAGAGAGAAGAGGAGATTGCGAATGACCACGACACTGGTGCTTTCGGTGAAGAGGATGCCGTTGGTGACATAGACGCAGAGGGTGAAGAGGATGCTATTGGCGAGGAAGACGCAGAAGGGGAGGTGGATGCGGAAGGTGAAGTGGATGCTGAAGGAGAAGTGGACGTTGAAGATCTTGCTGTCGGCCCAGAAGGTGAGTCAAATCATTTCTTCTCAAATGATACTGATAATCAGATATACCTGATCCTGACAATGTCAATGAAATAGACCAGGCAGACGAGCCGCAACCTGTGCCCGAGACAAATATCACCAGTGTAGGGGGTAGTGGGCGGTTTCGAAGTGTGGAAGAACTTCTCGCTGCTCGCCGTCCTTTACTTGAACTCCCTCTTGCCAATTCCATTATACCACTCAATCCATCCTCACCGCCTCGTGAGCGAGACGTGAACCCAGACACGTCGATCATCGTCGAACCCTCAAATGACCCTCCTCTGCACCTCACCGACCTCTTCCCCGAGCTGAATGTTTACACTGGTCCCATCCCTCCTGATGACAAGCCAAAATACCGCCATGAAGAAGGTGGTCTTTCAACAAACCGTTTAGCTCATATATCTCGCATCATGGATATTCGTCCTGTTTTCACATCGACTTTACAGCCTGCGCAAACACATTCGGGATCAACTTGGGATCTCCACGATGGGCCTTGGCAGACGGATATGAAGGTTGATCTTCCTTCTGACGCCTTATCTATCACTTGGCGGTTCATCGACGGATTTTCTTCTTCTCCTCCTCGTCTTGGACCACTCCTCCATACTGCCTCAACTCAACACGTGAGACCTAAGCTAGATTGGACTGAGGAGGAAGATGTGCTGCTGGAAAAATTAGTCAATACGTATGCGTCAAATTGGGCTTTGATAGCGGACAGTTTCAACACTGAGCTCATTCACGCGGCGACGGAGAAACGTACGGCTTTTGATTGTTCGGATCGTTGGTATTGGACTTTCGGACCTGGGAAAGGAAGACCGAGGCCAAACGCTATCACCATTCCTGCAAGTGCCGGTACAAGTGGACCTATGTCTGCTGTCCCGCAATCGGCCGTATCCTCCACTTCTGGGCCTCCTGGATCTGCTCAGCCTGGACCGCCATCCTCTGTATCTATCTCAGTTCCGACTTTACCCATTTCCTCAAATAACACAGTCGGTGCACCTGGTGAAGGTCCTCCTCCCCCGTTTACCAGTAAGAGAGAAGCCAAAGCTGCTCAGAAGAGCAAGTACGAAGGGAGTAAAAGAAGCGTGCGACATCAAGTCATTGCGGATGTCGTGAGGAAGTCTATGAAGAGGCGAGATGTACAAAGACAAAAGAACGCTCGTAAGTTTTCCTTGCGTTTGATGAAAACCTGAGCTGATGTATGAGCCAAAGATCGTGAACAACAAAGAGTCATCAACGTTCATGAATCTCACGCTACTGCTACGGCAGGTACCATTTTGACTCCTTACGAATTGGTAGAGAAGAAATTTCAACGCGATCAACATCATCTTCATCAACGTCAAGAACTCGTCAGACAAGAACAACAATTACGTGCTCATCAACTTCGACAACAACAAGCACTTTTATCCGCTCAGCAACAGATAAGACCTCCTTCTGTCCCCCCTGGTCAATCTGCTCAAACGGGTGTTCGACCTCCAACGATAGCAGTGACGAATGGTATGGCTCCTAGTCAACAACAACTTCTTAATGCAGTTGCAGCAGCGAACAATGCTAGACAGAACGGTACGCCAAACGGTGGTTCGAGACCAGTACAAAGTCCCTCACAACAAGTTCAAGTGACACAACAACTTCAACTTATACAAGCGCAACAATTTGCAGCTCAACAAGCTCAAGTCCGAGCTGCTCAAATTGCCCAGGCTCAGGCTCAAGGTCAAGTTCAAGGTCAGAATCAAGTTCAAATCCCAGGAAATCATCCTAGAATCCCATCTAATGGTACCCCTTCATCTCAACCTGCAACGTTAACAGCTTCACCATATTCCGGACCTCAAGGTGATCTTCCCAATGCGGTCGATACTTCACCTGCTATGCCTCCTTCCAATGTCATCATCGCTTCACCTCAACAGGCTCAAGGTATGGGAAGAGTACCTTCTTTACCGCCACATATGAGAGGACCTAGCGGTACAAGTGTGGGAAGTCCTCAGATTGGAATGATGCAACCTCAATCAGGTGGACAGGGAGGATCGAACAATCAGGGGAATCAAGCTATGATGGCGCAGATTTTACATCATTTGCAAGCGACGGGACAACAACCTACGCAAGAGACTATCAAAGCTATACATCAACAGATGTTCCGGAATGTGAGCTTGGGGTTTTTTTTTTTCATCTCCTCTGATCCCCACCTCATCTCCTAAAATGATCATCAACTTTTCCATCGGTTGGGTAAAATCACCTCGTCTCTCATGTGCACTTCGTCGTCTCATGGCGGTGGATCTTTTCTGGGACGGGATACTGGGAAAGAGTGAAGGTCGTGACGTCGAGACTGACATTGGTAGAAAGCTCAAGCTCAGGCTCAAGCGCAGGCAATGGGTAATCCCGGTACACCTCAAATGGGGATTCAAAATCTTCAACCTGTCAGTATTTTCCTTATGTGATGGATTTATGATGGACTGATTCCGTCTAGTCACACTTTGCTCGATCTCCCAGTGTTCAAAATGGTCAGATCAGGAGTCCTAATCCTGGGACGGGGGGTTGATCAATATACTTGTAGTTGTGCACCACGAGGATTAAACGTTTTCTTGATGTGATGCATAAATGTGTGCCATGTATTCCTCATGGGTGGGAGAATTTGATTCCGTCCTGTCTCGGTCGCAAATCCTTTTTTTTCTAGGCACAATTTCCGACTCGTACTACTTACTGTCATTCCTCGTCATCTCCCTCTGATCTGGTGTCAATACAAAACCCGACATACCAACAGACAAAGTGCAAGGATCAAAGAAGAAGATCGAATCACTACTTTGAGAAGGAAAGAATAATCGGAAGAAATAAAATGATAGCAACTATCTTACCCCCCGCTATCCCCCTAGGGGGGACCGTACCCGCCATGACGGCTCATGCCATTTCTGTTTCTTTACCTACATGGGAAGATAATGTGGATTATGAGAAAGGTAATAAAAGGGTTTTGGACGCTATGGAAACTGGTTATCCTAGGTTCTTCATACATCGGTCTATACAGAAGGTAAGTCAAGTTGGCTTTCCCACTTCTGCTCTCTTGTTTAACCAAGTCTTTACATTTTTGTCTTTTATTCGAGTCTGGCTCCGAGATTCCCCCCTCCCCCCTTCCCTCTCCCCCCACTGGCTGTTCCCTTACGAGATGTCGTGAGAGCGGGCAAAATGGCTGTTACACACACATACTTGTGTCATGTACAGTCGCTTACCATCAGCTGGCGGCTTTATGTTTGAACAAATTCGGTAGACCAGACGAATTATGTATCCTACTCCCTTCTCCTCGAGTAGCAACCCAAGCTCGAGATTTCCTTTCCACTCAAAAACCTTCACTCCCATCTCGAATAGTAGAATTTGTCATTTGTCCATCAATATCTTCCCTCCCTCCAGAACCATGTACACCTTCTGGAACTTCTTCAGTAGATATAATCGAACTTCAAATCCTTCTCTTTGATAAATCTCATTGGTCAACTGCGAAATCATTTTGGCAACATACAGGTGATGGTATATCTTCACGTATGGCCGAAACCGCTTTGAACCTATTAGGTGAATTCACACCCATTTCAAACCTTACATCTCCAATGATGGAAAAAAGAGAAACAAAACCTTATTCACGTAATCGACATTATTCAAGAAAATCTTCTACACCAACTTCTATTTCTCCAACTACACCTTTAACTCCTATCGTAACTACTCCATTGCAATCGAGACAGATAGATGAAGAACTGTTGAACGAAGAGAATTTAACGACGGAATTAACTACGTATCTCGAAGAAAGATATGGAAGGAACTTACCTTTGTTTAATGCTGGTTTGGCCAAACAAGCTTTGAAAAGAAGAATAGCTGGTGGTTTATTACCTAGTGATGAAGATTTCGGAAAGATTGATGATGTTGCTCGAGCGGGTGGAGCGGGGAAGAAGGCGGTTAGTGAAGAAGATGTGTTTTTGTATCCGACAGGTATGAGCGCTATTTGGCATGCTCATGAGGTTTGTAGGGTTGCGAAGAGGAGAAGTGGGGGACAAGAAGGAAAAAGTGTTTGTTATGGGTGAGCGGGAAATGTTTCCTCCCGTGACCATCTCTTACCTTTGATCATTCTCAATATCATCTGCTAATCACTCCGTGTGATCATTTCCAACTCTTGGTGAGATACCGTCACCTATGGTGTACAGTAATGCCAGCTGAGGTGTGAATGAGTATAGACGATTCTTGGTCATAGTGTGAGCCTAAGCTCATTCACAGATTCCCTTACACCGACACCATCAAAATCCTCACTAAATGGGGTCCAGGTTGTCATTTCTTCCCCACTGGTGGAAATCAAGATATCCCTTCTTTGGAAAAAGTATTAGAGTTAAAATCATCAGACGAACCTCCCATATTGGCTTTATTCTGTGAATTCCCAAGTAATCCTCTGTTGACGAGCCCTGACTTAGTCGCTATTCGTAAATTGGCAGACAAGTATGGATTCGTTGTTGTCGTCGATGAGACAGTGGGGAACTTTATAAATGTCGAAGTTGCTGCATTTGCCGACATAGTCGTTAGTAGTTTGACAAAGATATTCAGTGGTGATGCCAATGTCATGGGAGGGAGGTGAGTTTATATGTCTTCTTTCCTTCTCTTGGTGTTTTTCACCTCATCTCACTTCACCTACTCCATCAATATATATCCTTCTTACCTCGTTCTCGTACATTATACACCTTCCGCGTACATTTCAATTCCTCCTCAAGCATGTGGATGTTCTTTTCACGATACCTTGGAAATGATATGAATAATAACCTTGACATTCAGTCTCATCCTCAACCCAAATAGTTCCCACTATACAATCCTGAAAGAAACCCTTTCGACAATATACGAAGATTTATATTTCCCAGAAGATGCAGTTTACATGGAACGTAATTCTCGTGATTATAGAAGTCGTATTAAAACAATCAACGATAACGCTCATCTCGTCACTGAATATCTTTATCATCATTCACTTTCAAACCCTTCACATCCTTCTCAAACAATTATAAAAAAAGTTTATTATCCACGTTGGATAACACCTGAAACATACGTTCAATCTCAACGATTACCAACGTTAGGAAAAGGAGGTTTTGGTGGTTTGTTCAGTTTGACATTCACTTCTATGATTGCCAGTAGAGCTTTTTTCGACGCTTTACCTTGTGCTAAAGGTCCTTCTCTAGGTACGAGTTTCACGTTGGCTTCACCTTATACTATCTTGGCACATTATTACGAGTTGGATTGGGCTGCTGGATGTGGAGTAGAGGAAGGTTTAGTGAGGATTAGTGTTGGACAAGAAGAAGAGGATGTTGTTATGGCTATGTTTCAAGTGGCGCTCAAAGCTGCGGAAAGAGCTGTAGTAGAGGAGAGTGGTCGTGGTCGTTGAGTGAAGTTCTGGGAGTAGAGTAGAGTGTCAGAGTGGATCAATTTGGTTAAAATCGTCAGAGGGGATATGCTGCATACGGTGATGATAAGTATATTGAATTCCCCAAAAATGCACACTTTGCTACAAATTAGATTGTTGACCCATTGTCATCATCCCACTTTCTCTACTATTCGCTTTGTGACCTTTTTTCTTCTAACTTTTCCACCTGTTCACTTTTCATCTATGTACTCACTGTCTACCCTCTTCGCTCGAATTCTTAGCATATCCATATCAGATCAATCCTCCCTGTCCCACACCCAACTCCTCCTGAAATTTCCCAAAGTCATCCTAACGAAAATCCCTCTACTCCAACTCTTGTCCTCCAGGTCGACGTCCAATGACCCAAGTACCATACCCAAAAGGCCAAGTATGTCTAAACTTTCCACTTGACCATACCCATTCATCAGGTGCATCCGTATCTTCCACTGCCATCTCATGTGCTATATCGACCGAAGCTAGACAAGCGAGATGAGTTATATGTTCAGGTGTGTATGTTCTGTAACATGATATTAAACCGTCAAAAGTTAAGATGAATGGTATGATTGGGATTATATATGTGAAGAATATTGTTGCTGGAATGTCAACATGTGCCCAGGTTGATCTTCTTCAGCTTCTTATCCTTCATCCCCTTCTTGCCTTCTTCGTCATCATCGACTTTTTATGTTCCCTCTACTTCTTCTCCCTTTTCTTCTTCTCTTTCCCTCTTTTCTCTTTTTCCCTTTTTTTCGCCCTCTCTTTGTCTTTCACTAGTATAGGTCGAGTCTGACTGGAGTGGGACAAAGACATCAGGGGAAAAGTGGATGAGAGGTTTGACTAGAAGTAGGGAAAGAGAGAGGGGACTCACTCAGAGAAGGTCGGATAAAAGGTATGAGTATGTAAGATAAAGGGAAGATCATAGTGTTCATTATAAAACTTCCTATCTCAGGTCCTTGTAATTCGAAGATACTATCCATCAATAAACTTCCAATAACTTACTAATACTACGTCTCCTTCGGGTCACCCTTCTCCACACAGGTGACTCCAGATACATGACGAAGTTACGCATAGGCAGAAATCAGATCAATGTTGGGGGAAACTTTACCCGAGCGGGAGTCAAAATCACATATAGTGAAAGATTCCGTGTGAACAACAACGAAATGTTTTCAAGAGAGATACCTGGAAAAAGAGGATTGTATTCGTAGACAAAGGTAAAAGAAGAAGTGAATGTGGAGGAAACAACGAACCAAATCCCATCTGAACTCCTCATCGCATCCGCCAATATAGCCCTAGCTTGAGTTTGGTTGAAATGATGGAAAGAAAGACAAAAAGTTCTTAAATGTCTTTGTTCCGTTCCTTCTTCCGGAAATCGAGTAGCGTCCACAGGATAAGATAAATACGATAATGGACTCGTAGGAGATATTATATGTTTTTTCCATGCTCCTACATGAGGATAAAGATCGGACATGACCACTTGGATTGGAGGTTTGTTGGTTGATATTCTTCTTTCACTGTGGTTCAGCTTGGGGGACGCTTGACATAATTCATCCACAGATCTAACTTCTCAACACGTCAATTGTCCACCCACCTGACCCTTGTTACGTATTCCAAATGAAGCCGTCCAGGGCCTGCGATTGAGAGGAAGGAACATCGTACCATTCCAAATAACCCACATTCCTTATTCCCCAGATTTCTGATCATGGAGAGGGAAGAGACGAAAGTATATATTCCCAGCCATGAACCTCATCCCCATCGAAACATCATTGGCCAATACGTCCATGGATCCATGGATCCATGGTGTATGGTGCGACCTCACAAAACTCATAGGATAATCGGGACATCGACCATCGGAAAGAAGATGACTGTACTTATCACTCACTTCAACTTTCTCTCCACTATAGGCATAGGTCCTCCCGCACCCGAACAACAATCAACGATTCTCAATTTCCCTCTATCCTCCATCTCCCCTTTATCCTCTTTCCCCCCATCCAAACCCTCTAGCTCGTTGACCACCCTTTCCAGCACATCGACCACTCCCAAATGTGGCGATCGGGGTTGAGTCAGAGGGAGTCGATGTTCCCATAGGAAAGTGAGAAAATCTTGAACTGGTTGACGGATAAAAGTTGGACACCATGATTGATCTGATATCTCTAATAATCTAGGACGTCCGTATGGGAGTTGCATCTTCTTATGATTTACTAGGTAACTTGAGGTAAGGGGTGTTACATGTGTAAGATATGCACCGGTACGGACCGGCTACGAAGCTGGCAAATGTCAGAGGCATCTGCCGGATCGACTGCCATATAGGCATGCGACGGAGAACCTTAGCGTTTAGGCTCGCGGTTTTGGTTGGATGATAGTGATGAGCCAATCAGCGGCTGGGAATCTCAATATAAATTGATTCCGCTAACAGTTGCGTGCCAGACAAACGCAATTACGTAAACCACCTCCGAGTTTCAGGAGTCTTGCTCCGTCCTCCATCCATCTTTTTTACTTCCACAAATTACCAGGACTCCGGCTTCGGGCACCACCCTAAAAGGCTACGGGCACCACCTGCCACAAACCCTGAGTTCAGGCACGTACCACCGGCGTTACTGAAACGCCGACCACGCGACGGACATGAACTCGCCACTGATCGGGGTTTCAGTAACCCCGCGATCTCTTATTGCTCACTCTTCTCTTACATCGTCAATGTCATTATTAGCTATACCATGTCATTTCCGGCCATTGTCCATGCATTTTCCATATCTATCAATGTCCAGGAGGATAATATGAGCCATAGGGATGTCTAGAAGACCCCTGGGATGGATAGGGAGGCCAATATTGAGAGGGAAGAGGAGGGAGAGTAGGTGGAAGAGGGGGGGGTGGTAGGTACCTCTCCTCAGGAGGATAAATGTCGAAAAATGGGGGTACCTGTTCATTAGAGACCCCCCATCGGATACAGCCGAAAATGCAGTATTAGAGACTCACATTCGGTTGATATTGGCCATTTCCTGGTGTCTCCTGGACCAATCAGCTTGCAGGAAACTTTTAGAAGTAAGAGACTAAGAGAAGAGTGAAAATTTTCGAGATCGTGAGGCCATTATAGAGAGAGACAGAGCAATATAGTCAGAGACAGAGCAATATAGCCAGGAATGACTGCAGGACAGAGAGGGGGAGAAGGAGGGAAGGAGAAATGTGATTATCATATGAGAAACCCACCGAATAACCTGTCCTAGTGATCATTTCTCCTGTCCTCACCATCCTGTCCTCTGTCCTCACTACTACAGGCTGATTTTCCTTCTCCCTTTTATCTCTGTCCTCAATACTCTTAGCCAGGCCCAGAACCGTCTCCTGAAGACTCGCGATCTTCTTCTCAAGAGCAGAATTAGTTCCCATTACTGATCCCTCTGTCCAGGTCGTTTCTCCAGCATCATACGCCTTTACCTCGCGATCATAGGCCTCAGGATCCCTCTCTCGATGTTCATTAGCCCTTTTACACTTCTTAGGACCATGACTTCTTGAACCACACAGGGGACAGGGACGATTTGCCTTCTTCTTGGTACCTAGGAATTTCTCAGACTGAGTGTGTAATCGACCGGTATGAGAGACATCATTAGACAGTTGAGAAGGGTTCGATTTTACACCCCTTTTAGGCGAAGGAGGAAGAGTAGGAGAAGGAGGTAAAAAGTAGGGGTTTTCGACAGGTAACAGGTCGTCATTATCGTCATTCGTTAAGTCGATCTGAGTCGAAGAAGGGATCTGAGAGTTCTTTTTAGCTAACGCCAACCGATTTCTTCGAAGGTGGGGGTCGCGAATTCTGTTGGTGTCATTATCCACCTCCCACTGAGGCCCTAGTAGTTGATGAACACCAGTAACCCCACCATTAACCTTCGTGGTGGCCTGTTCGATCGTTTCTGGCCAGGTGTAGGGGTTGAGAAGACGCCAATGACGATGGAGAGGAGACAGAGCAATGGTACCATCATTTTCAAGTACTTCAGCTATGTCCTTAGCAGAAGGGAGGCCTCTTGAAGTCGAATACATGTTGCTCCCGTCATCATTATCGACATTGCCGCTGGTTGCTTTGGCATATTGCTTCTCCATGATGGATATTGACCATTTTGAGACACGATTTTTGACAGAGGAGAAGATAGGACTAAGGTTGGCCGTCTGAATGAGTCTATCAAGAGCCATTTGGTGTATGATCTCTTTACACTGGTCGTCGAAGAACTCGCGAATCATCTGCAGTAACGCATACATGTCGCTGTAAGAGTTGGGGAGACGTTTCTTGAAAGAAGCATGACTACCTTCTAGGCGAGAATTTGATGTTTGTCCAAGATGAGTGTGTTTATCGATAAAAGCAGAGACGAAGTGTGTCTTGTGTTCATCCACCAATTGTCTCACATAAGCCTTCGCACCATCCAAATTTTCATGTCCCCACCGAGCCTGCATTGATGACAGAGCTTTATCTAATGACTCTTCAGACTTTGCTTGACAGATATCCACCATGAAATAATCACCAAACTCAGATAACTTCTTAACCCACTGCTCTTTAGGATAAAGGGACTGAAAATATTTTCGACAGTTCACCTTGATGTTTTCGCGAATGTGCCATCGACAGTAATTCAGGTGGACATGAGGTAGGTGGATAGACAGAGCATTGTGTAATGCGATTTCACGATCACAGACGATAACTTTGATATCATTGTTGATAGGACCAATGAGTTGGAGATAGGCTTCGATGGCAAGGGAGTACCATTCGGTCACTTCTCGACTGAGAAAAGCAACAGCAGAAGTGTAGTTCTGGTTGGTGGCTGTAAAACCGCCGATGTGAAGCATTGGAAGACGATATCGATTCGTTCGGTAGGTACAATCCATAAAAAGAACGGTTGGGTACGAATGAGTCATGGCTCTGGCCGACGAGGTGGTAAAGACGAGTCCACAAAGTTCTTTTTTACTGTTGGTGAACGCTTTAAAAAGATTGTTGTTGTCGGTGAGACGTCTGATTGCTGCCTCGGTAGCAGAGAGGCCTTGTCGAAGTTCCTTTTCATGACGATATCGAATGTTCTTGATATCTCGGGAGTTTAATGACACTTTTTCACCAAAACGTGCTTGGACAGCAGCGACAATACCACGAAGAGTGTGATTACTGGCCAGGAGTTCTTTGATGAATTGGAATACCTCTGGAGTACGACTGACTTGACGAATAAAACCAAAATGGAGAAGAGGAATAGGTTCATGGTTATGAGAGTTGTTAATGATGGAGGGGATCCACAGGGGTTCACGATTTTGAGCGATCTTCTTAGTCTCTCTTCGCCAGATGATAGAGAAGGGACAGCCAGCTTGTTTGGTAGTTCGAGAGCGTTTTCTAACATGTTCAAAATCGTCAGATCTATGTGATCTACCATCCCCTCCAAGAGCACATTGAAGTTCGAGTTTTCCCTTGTCTTTGTTGCTGCGAAGAGTGACGATACAGACAGTATGTGTCATGGCTACTTGTTGGGTATGAAGTCGAGCAGCTAACATGGTTGGTTGAGGTTCAAGATCGAAGGGGGGGTGGATGTGGTGAGCCACACGATCGAAGCCAATTGGTTCGCGAACATCGAGCTCTAAATTTGCCAGCAGGTTATCGAGTTCATCATCATCGTAGTCGTGGTCACGAGGTTGCTGAGTCTCTGGTATGATAGAAGGAGATCGAGAGTGATGAGGACTGAATTTTATAGAAGGGGACCGAGAAAAACGATCCAGAATTGGTGATGACGGTGGCGACGATGGAATAAGAATCGGTGATGACATCTGATTCGTCAGGATGATCACTTCATGCAGTAAAATTAATACTCACTCGTAGCCCAAGACCAGCAGAATACATGTCGACAAGTTAGAACCCGGGGGGTGGTGTTGTTGAAGAATTAAAAAAGTCTTTGGTCGAGATGTCGGCGGCAAATTTTTTTCGAGGAGTTCGGTGGCAAGGATGATGATGTTGAGTAGGCCTATTGAAGTCAGCATTTCACTTCTGATAGTAAAACAACTACTCACAGCTCAGGACGAACAGGAGAACAGTGTCGATTTATAGCCCAAGACGAGCAGAATACATGTCGACAAATTAGAACCCCGGGGGTGGTGTTGTTGAAGAGTAAAAAAAAATTTTGGCCGGGATGTCGGTGGCGAAAATGATGATGATGACGAGAACCTATGACAATCAGATTTTTACATTTTTCAATGAGAAGAGTACTCACAGACTCGCAGAGGCCAGGAGAACAGTGTCGAGTTGTTGAGAAAGGCTGAAGATGTCTTGTTGAAGAGTAAAAAAAGTTTTTCTCGCGAATGGTGAAGTGGCGAGGATGATGATGATGAGAGGGTCTATCAAAGTCAGATTTTCACTTCTGATAATAAAACAAGTACTCACAGACTCGCACAGAGCAGGTGAACAGCGTCGAGAAGATGAGAGAGTACCACGATTGCTCTGTAAGAAGTTATAGCAATTTGATGGGTGGTAGTCAGGAGGGCGCAGGTTGAGAAGGCGAAGGGCCAGAAGTGGGTGAAAAGTAGTCGTAAAAGAGTGAGAAGAGTATCAAAATGATCCTTGAGACGAGTAGAGACAGTGTGTGTGAAAAAGAGCGTGAGTTTACTAGTATAATGACGAGAAAGAGATTAGTGGTGGTGAGGACAGGTTGGTAGGTAGCGAGCAGACATGTCGCGTCGTTGTGGTGGAGTTCGGCGTTACTGAAACCCCGATCAGTGGCGAGTTCATGTCCGTCGCGTGGTCGGCGTTTCAGTAACGCCGGTGGTACGTGCCTGAACTCAGGGTTTGTGGCAGGTGGTGCCCGTAGCCTTTTAGGGTGGTGCCCGAAGCCGGAGTCATTACCAGGTAGATGAATCAACATCATTCGACGCCCGCTGAGCCATGAGCCACTGATGACAGTTCGACTCACGGATGAAATATCCAATCGGTGATGGCGGTCATGTCGGTCTTGACGGTCATCATTTGATCCTTCGCGAAATTCAGGGTGTCAGGTATGATAATTAATTTTGAGCAGCCGTACGAGTCCAGCACGACTCTTTCCTGATATGTATAAATTGACAGTTTTCTCTGCTTATCCCCAAAAAGGATAATCCAAATCCGTCTACTCACGTCATGTACCCCTCGGGCCTTTCACAAATCTTTATCTCTATCGCTGTGACCGTTACGGGATGGTTGTTCGTCAAGTTAATCACCAGGTGAGTGGTCGATGATCCTTTGCGATAGAGGTCGTTTGATGATTTCAGAGGTCCATTTGACCCCTTGCCAATCATTGGTCATTTACACAAAACGGTTCGAGGGAGACAATTTTTCTTTGAATGGGTACTAGATGGAACCAGGTATCATAAGGAAAAGGATTGGTTACTCAACGTTATGGGAGCGAGGGTATGGCTCATCATCGAACCTTCGTAAGTACTTAGATTGACTTTTCTCCTTGTCCTGTCCATTCGGAACTCAGCCAGACTCAAACCAGCTTTGGATGTATAAGGGGGGAGGTGGGGGGATATGAGCGTAGTGGGACTTCAATCTCAATCACAGGTCTATCAAAACAATATCCCTCAAAGTGTCCACGGAAACAGATGGGAGTTTCGACAAAACCGAAACTGCGTCAAAAGTCATGGGCGATTTAGCTGGTAAGTCATCTTCCTGTTTTGGTTTGAGTCAACATTGACAGATAGGTAAAGGGTTAGCATCAATTCCTTTGAAATTTTTGTCTTCGTCGTATTCCTTCTTGCGTCTTTTTCGTTCTCTTATTGACCGTCACGCTAGAACAAAGGACACATCGCTCACGCGACAGAACGCTGTTGATCAAAGGTCCTCTTTGGCGGGCTCATCGAACAGCAGCCAATCATTTGTTCGCATCCCCAAAAACCATCGCACACATCGTTGATCATGTTTTACCGCGCAACAAACACGTCTTGACATCTGCGTTGTCTCACGCGGCAGATCAAAATGTGGTGGTGGACGCTCAACAGGTTATGACCACTTGGTTAAACGCTGGTTTTGGAGATTTAGCTTTTGGTGTGAGTATTTGTCCAACCTTCCAATCGTTCAATTGATACCTGTCGTTATCACGTCTCCTTTGACGGTATCAGCCTCCGCAAACTGGTCAGAGACCCCAAGAGCTATGATCTTCTGTACGTCAAGGTCACTTAGTGACAAGGGAACATGGACAGAGTAAGCTGACAGGAAGGCCAGCTCGGGTGAGATTCACGCCAAGTTCTCCAGGGCGTGGACAGCAGCTTCTCGTCCGGTCATACGCCGTTTCATCACTCCCTTTTGGCGTATGAAGGAGAGATTTCAGTCATACGGCCTTCAGATACAGAAAGACATTGCCACTGCCCGCGGAGCTTGTCATGACCTGGTGACACGAACCCGTCAAGCTATCAAAGAGGAAGAAATTGGTATTCAACCTCCCAGGGATGACGGATCAGGGATGGTCATCAGGACTTTATTGGAGAGCGACTATACTTTCACCGAGGAAGAATTAGAAGATGCTTCTTTGGGCTTCATGTTTGCCGGTGAGTATCTCGCCGGTCACATGTCTTGAGTCAAGTTTCAATTGATCGTCTCAGTGGCGATGAGGTTTGTTCGGACTGAGATTACACTAGAACGAGGGAGCCCATTTGGAGTACAAGGACGGGCTGATGTTTAGCAAGTGACACAACCTCTCACGGTCTCGCATGGGCTCTTTACGCGATGCTCCGATACCCCTCTTACCTTCCTCGTCTCCAAGCGGAAATCGATAGTCTCCCTCTTGAGTTGTCCTCGAACACAGAGCTCTCCTCTCATTTACCTCTCCTAGAAGCGTTCATCTCTGAAAGTCTCCGTCTTCACCCACCCACCGCCGTCATCCTCTCCGAATGCACCGCCTCTCAGCCTGTGGTGATGCCAGGAGGTGCGGTCATCAAACCCGGTGATAGGATCTACATGCTACCATGGATCATGGCTCGGTGTCGAAGTATCTGGGGAGAAGACGCAGAGGTATTTCGTCCAGAGCGTTGGATGGAAGGAGGGAAACGCAAGAGCGCATATGAGTTCCCCGTGTTCTTCGCTGGTCCACGTAACTGTCCGGGGCAACAATTAGGAAGATCGGAGATGATTTATACATTGACAGTCGTCTTGAGGGAATTTGAATTCGAAGCTGCGTGGCCGATGGATCCGAAGGACGAGTTGGCAAAAGCAGAGAAGGATGGAGGTGTAAAGGAGGGCGACTCGTATATCTGGCAGAGAGCCGGAAAGAAGTGTATGGAGTATGGAATCACATCTGGTGTTTTGGGTGGATTACCAGTAAAGATTAAGAGGAGAAAATCAGGGAAGACGGCATGATAAGTAATCGTCTGATCTACGATCGATAGACGGGAGATGATGAGTTTGGGGGTTAGTGAACATATACCGCCCTCGAGTACATTTGCTGGAACATAGCCTGATTGATGCAGATCATAACATGTTGAGAAATTTTCTGATCTCTGCTTCTGGTCTGAAACCCACTGAAGGTCAGCTCAAACTGTTGGACCCATGGCATTGGACCAGGAAGGAAAAGAGAAAGATAGTCGTGGATTTGACTTACCAAACTTGTTCACAACTTTTCCATCTTTGAAAGCCACCACCGTTGGTAAAGCTGATATCTTCTCTTTAGCCAGGATTCTGCATTTTCCATTCGCAGGATGAAGTGAACAAACACTCACTTTGTTTTCCGCGGCCAACTCTGGGTTTTCATCCACATCAAGGGTCAAGAGGTCATATCCGCTCTCTGGACTTGTGACATTTTTCAGCAAAGGGGTGAGTACTCTACATGGCTGACACCATCTGAACGTCAATGTTTCCTCTGATCCATTATTGGTGTAAATCTGACTGATACCTCATATGTGCTACGACATATGACATACTACTCGATTATTTATATAAAGAGGTAGAAGGGGATTCTCGTTGGGTTGAGAGGATAGATATTATTATGAGGAAGAAATGGGATAAAACTCACGTAGCGTAAAAGTCAACGAGGACAGGTTTAGAAGTTCCTTCTTTCACACGAGATTTGAAGGTCTGGATATATGAGCGATGAAGACTAATGGAAGAGAAAGACATACTTCAGGAGTAGCATCGAGGTAATGTTCTCTCACCGGACGAGAGGTGGATAATGTTCTGAGTGTCCATCGTCGTGGGATCTCAGCTCCAGTGAACTGAATATTCCGTAGACCATGTAGGTTCCGAGATATTGTTGAGAGTGACATGTCCTTGTACTTGACTGCCTATTGACCGATGACTGATAGCTGTTTGCAATTCAAGCTAGCAAGCTATCGTCGATGACGTTGACTTTGGAATCTTGTTTCCATTTCGGCCAAGGTGGAGGTGAACGCGGCGATCGCCGATCTGGCACCAAATTTCTTAACATGTTCTTACTTATTACTTTAGTTGTTGATTACTGTAGGATATCAAGATGCCCAAGGCTAGTGAGCTACTGAAATCTGCCCTCTGATAAGCAAGCTCACTTTCAGGTAAACTCAGTGGCAAGGGCAAAAACAAAGTGTATTCCCTCCCCTCCACTCAAAGTCAGTCTTCCTTCTCTCTCTTCCGTACGTCATTCTGACCTCTAGAAAAAAGAGACCTAGGGGTACCCAAGTTGAACGCTACCAAACTTGTTGGTAAATCCTACATACCACCGGCTTCACAAGTCCGAGTAAGTTATATACACACAAGATCCGTTATCTCAGCTGATCGAAGCCTTCGCATGTGGGACATGGTTGGGATGAAGAACAATCAAACGACCCATCTTCTTCACAATGGCATGTAGACTCGTCACTCATAAGGGATTCCTCTTCCAAAGCTTTCATGAGGGAATTGAGAAAAGTGATCGAAAGGAGTGATGTGATCATACAGGTCTTAGATGCTAGGGATCCGGATGGGACTAGGAGTAGGTGGGTGGAGGATGAAGTTAGAAAGAGAGCTGGGACGGGGAAAAGGTTATTGGGTGTTGTTAATAAGATTGGTATGTCTTCTTTCTTCTTTCTTCATCTTTCGTCAACATGTCGCATATTGGCAAAGTATGGCTCCAAAATATGCTCACACGCCTATCACTTTCCCATTCCGGTTCAATGGGATGACCATGATGAAGGTGGAAAACCCATGAGAAACGTCATCAATGACCTCATGACTGAACGTGCTGATGATAGATCTCGTCCCAAGAGCAAATTTAGAAGCATGGATCAAACATCTACGTCTCTCTTTTCCCTGTATGCCCTTCAAATCTTCCACCCAATCTCAACGACATAATCTCTCTCAAGCTGCTATTCCCCTCGCCCAACCGACCTCAACAACAGGTCAATCTTCTTACCTCCCTGCTCTCCCCACTACCTCCTCTTCTCTCGGGGCTCTGCGTTGTTGCAACTGCTCAAGCAATACGCTCTCAACACTCATGCGTCCCTCACAGTGGGTGTCGTAGGATATCCCAACGTCGGTAAATCATCCCTCATCAACTCACTCAAGAGGTCACGAGCATGTGCCGTCGCTGCCATGCCGGGAAAGACGAGGGTCGTGCAGGAAGTGGCTCTGGATAAAGGAGTTAAATTGCTGGACTGTCCCGGTGTGGTATTGGAGGAGTTTAGTAAAGAGGAGGGAGAGAAGAAAAAGGCAGAGATGATGTTGAGAAATTGTATCAAGGCTGAGTTAGTGGAGGATCCCATTGTACCAGGTGAGGCTGCACTCGAATCTTTTTCTTGTTTATATATAACACTCTCGCCAACTCGTCCACCCGCATATTTGTCAAGGAATGCCATGATCTGGACAGGCTTGTTTTGGAACGGGAGAAGACCTGCGCTGACACCATCAGTCGAAGTCATACTGGACAAGGTCGGACCTGAGATTCTGTGCAAGATGTATGACATTCCCCCTTATTCTGATGTCCGTGAATTTCTCATTCGAGTCGCCCTCACACGAGGTAGACTAGGCAAAGTGAGTCTTTATCACCGTTCTGACTCGTGTCGATAATCTGACGAGATTGAGCTGATGTTCAGGGCGGTATTCCCGATCTGGACGCCGCAGCTGTCTCTGTACTTCGCGATTGGAATACTGGGAAGATACCATACTATACCATGCCACCCTTGTCCCGCCCAGCTCCAACTTCCGCGTTGGCTGGCGATACTGAGATGGCTGCCGAGTCGGATCGAATTGGAGATGCAAAGATCCTTACGGAGCTGAGTGAGGCATTCACCATAGACGGATTATTCGACAACTTGAACGACGAAGCTGTTTGGGAGCACGATGATGTGGCGGAAGAAGGAAGTGGCATGGACGAAGAGTACGTTCTATTTGTCACATCTCGGAGTGTGTTGCTGATTGGACAGCCTCATTTTGGAACCCGAATCCGCTATGCAAACTCACGATTATCATAAACATATCGATTCCGACTCCGAGGACGAACGTTTACCCCGAGTTGCTCCTCCACCTCTTCCCAAAGCTGCACCCTCAATGAATCTGCCTATCACAAATAGTATCGACCATAACAATGCCAAATTATTTACGCCTGAAGAAATCTCCGTTCTCCCCAGCGACGTCCTCGACCGACATAAACTCAAACAACAAGCCAAGAAAGCCAAAAAGCGGAGATTAGCAGCTATGAAAACGGAAGATGAGCTCATGCTTGGGTTCATGGGTATGGACGTGGAAGAAAGTGATCCTCTGGATTCCTCTCTCGTTTCCGACCTGGTCGAGGCTCTACCTACTAGTAAAAAACGGAGAGCCAAGAAACTGAACAAACCGACCAAGATCAAGACAACGCCGTCGTTGATTGTCACGGAGGAAGAGAAGAAAGAAAAGGAGTTTGCAAACTTCCTCGCAAGTGTAGGAGGTGAGTCCCCCTCGCATCTATTTCAAAGCAGTGCTTACCGAATTAGTGGACGATTCGGACGAAGAGCTTTGATGCATATCTTTACGCATTCGTCGTCATCACCGAATGGAGCAATTTGAATCTCTTCACGTAATGAACTGACGGAATCGGATGATGACACTTCTCTTCACATTCCACGGTGACTTCTGCACGCGTCTGTTTTTACCTTCCGAAGAAGACATGCGGTGCATTTCGAGGGCGGATGAGCGGTGTATTCTGTGTGAGAGGATGAAGAGGAAGAGTATATGATGTCGAGTCTGGATGTCCAAAGAATCATCTTGCAACCAGCTCTAAAAAGTACTCAAAAGGACAACCACTAAAAAAGTTCCACTCAAAAACACCTATCGAAAAACCACCAAATATACTTACCAATAAATCTTTGAAAAGAAAACCTGCCTCACAAAAGCTCGAAATTCTCCTGGCACTCGATACATTCCACCAACCTCCTGCACGAATCGGCTGATTGATACTTCGAAATCGAAACTGAAACTCTTAGAATAAATACAATCACCTCAACAAAAAAATTTACAAAATGCGCTCTCCAGTCATCGCCACCTTTGCTGCTTTCACCTCTCTGGCCATGGGCTCTCCTGTTCCTCATCAAGCAGTGAGTCCATCTACACTCTTCTGTTTCCTTGACCCTCTCCCTCCATTTCCTGGAAAATCTTCCCTATCATTGGACTCATCTTGACTTCGCTATGTGAGTTTCTTAGAGAGGGCAATGGAGCCCGAGCTTGATTGTCCAACTGTTCCCTGGAATCAATCCTGACACCCAGCGCCGTCCCACCATCTCCCTCCCCGGCCCACTCCAAGATTCCGCCGGCAATCTTTCCCCCGCCTTTGCCTCTCTATCCCAATTGACTCACTCCTCCAACTCGGCACCCCTCCTAGGTCCTAGTCTACCTTCTGATCCATTGGGAAGAGCAGCCGCCGCTGTCAATGTCGATATGAGTCATCTTGCGTCTTCGCCCAACTTCGGCTCTGTGTCAAAAGCAGTGGATACGTCGAAGTTTCCTCACGAGATGGACAGCACGGCGAACGTCTTGGACACTTCTGCTCCTTTCAAGAAGACCTCCGATACTACCAAAAAGTTGGATCCGGCTACCTCTAAGACGTCTCTACAATCGCAGGACAAGACTAAAGTGCTGGATACATCAAAGATTGAGAAGATGGAGACACCACCGAAAATAATCGATGATCCTAAATTCTCCGCGAAGATGGACGGCGATAAGATTGTTCAGCCTGTGATGACCACACCTCCATCTGACACCAATGTGGTCAACACGAACCAACCCTCTCAAGTCGATTCGACTAATGTGGAGCATCCTAAGACCCCAGGACTGGGATTCGGTGCATTCCACGGTCTACCTAAAGGTCCGGCACACAAACGATCCCTACCACCTCTAGATGGACTGGGTATCGTTTTCCCTGCTCAAGAAGCACTTCATTCACTTGGTGAACCCGCTTTGAGAACACAAGGAGCTCAACATCCACAATTAGGAAGACTCACTCCTGAAACTTTGGTAGATTTGGAGGTCGTACTTAAAGGTGTGGAAAAAGCAGAGAAGCTTGTGAACCCAAGGAGATCTAGACGAGCAGCGATGAAGAACAAAGACAACAATATTATTCAAGAGGATTCTTTGGAGAAGATGGGACAAATGGGTGATCTGAAGAAATCGTTGAATGGACTCAACATTATGGATAAGACGGAAGTTGACCAAGTGAAGAAAGAAGAAAACGGAGTCAAGATGAAATACGGTAAGAACCCGTTGACTAAACCAGACGAAAATCAACTTGAAAAGGTTCAGGTGGTGAAACCTGAGGCCGCGGCGATCAAACCGATCGATGGGAATATGTACAAAATCGCGCAGACCACTTCTCATGGTGGGGAGAATGTCAGAAGGGAAGTCAAGGGGAATGTGGATGATGAGATCAAGGATACTCAGAAGAAAGTTGGAGATGGGAATAACGACACTGGGAAGAAGGTTGAAGATGGGAGTAAAGATACCGAGAAGAAATTAGGAGATGGTAACAAAGATATTTTGAAGAACATCGGAACGGGATCTCAAGAATCTCAGGCAGAGTTGGGAAAAGGTGTGAAAGGTAAAACAGGTAAGAAGGGAAAGAGGATGTTGGAAGTGGAATATGGAAAGATGTGGAGGGGTGCGAAGGAGTTATCCGACATGGATGACTTTCCGTTCTTTGGTTGAATCACCGAATGAGATGAAGTGAATCGAAGGGTATGAACGTTGTTGAAAGGATAGAATCTTAAGTATCTCAAGTATTGTGCTAAATGTTGAAGTAGAGGAAGAGAATAACAAGTAGATCCAAGAGATAGAATGTATGAAGTGTGTGGAGATAGAAGGAAAATGAAGCAAACCGAGATGGCATGGACATGACAAACATGCAAGACTTGAGAATCTTACAGCCCTGAGACTGTGGTTTCTGAAGAAGATGTGATTCCATGCTCATGAGTATACTTCTATTAGGGTGTAGCTTACCGCCATCCACCGCGACTGGTAAGGCAAGTGGAAGAGCTTATCTGACATGGCTCCACTCGGGGTTTGCGTCCTGGCTATTCGGACATTCTATCTTCCGAGAATGAATGATCACCATTTCCTCCGAACCCATTCATCGTGGACCCGGCAGTCAAGCTTCCGATGTCTTCTGCCGTCTTCCCAGTGCGTTGAGACCAATCTTGGCAAAGTGGTTGGAGGAATTCTGCAGTAGTGGCATCGTTAGCTTTGTTCGTGGTATCATACTCACCTTTCAATACACACACATAAAATTCTTGATTATCATGTTGTGCCGCCATTGCTACTCCCGCCACTTGGTATGCTCTTTCGCATGCTTCTTCCAATGTCAAGTGGTAGTCACCATCCACTCTTTTCCACTCAGACATGAAAGAGGTGTGAAAACCAATATTCCTTGTTGTGTCTTCCTCATTTTCTCGGAGGTTAAACTGTACTCGTGGTAACCGGAGAACGGACCAACCACCAACCGGAACGACTTTTTACCCGTAAAGTACAAGAATTCTGACCGTGCTACTTTACTTCACATGCATCATATGGATTCAAACTCTTCAAGCAATAGTAGAGGGACCCGCAGAGCACCTCCTGGAGGCAGGGGAAGCACGTTGCTTCCCTTTCGACTTACCAGCCAGCGCAGCCGTTTTCTTCTTCATCCTAGATTCCTGCTCTGCCTTCTTTCTTTCGGCAAGTGCTTCTACATTCCGCTCCTGGTACTCCGGGTCAAAGACTTCACCATCTTTGTAGATCGCACGCTTCCTACTTCCCCTGGCTTCCTTATCCAATGTCATTGCTGCCCGCATGTCCTTCACCTCCCTATCCTTAAATGCACAATCCGCCAATGACTCTTCCAATCCCTTCCTTGCCTTCTCAAAGGCCTGTTTTGGATCCAGCACACCCTGCCGGATAAGAGACGAGTATTTTCGGAGGCGCTGATAGTTCCGTGGGGTTTCAAGATCAGGTGAAGAGCCTTGTGGAGGAGGTGTGGTCGGAATAGGGGGAATAGATGAAATAGGTAGATCGACCGCACCCATGACTTCAGGATCCAGTGGCCACAATCCTGCTTTCCGCCAAGCTGCCTTGATCTGATTATCCTGCATCGTTCCCTTCCACGCTACTTGATGCCATCTCCAAAACATCCCCTTCGCTGCTCGAGATAAACAACTCCCACGTTGATAATCATCCAGTTGGTTGAAGAAGGTGCGCTTGAGGTGATTGAAGAAATCTACATCCAATGGTTGGAGTTCTCCTGTCAATCCAGCTGGAAAGATGATGACAACAATGTTCCTAATTCAAGGAACTCGACTTTGACATGGGGGTCCGCTCCATCAAGGAAAAGAAGTCGTCGGCAGTGAGGGGGAACATGGTCACGAGTGGCTGGATCAAAGACATCGGTCAACCACTTTTGACAGATATAGGTATTGCTCCAACCTGATTGTGTTACCATCCCCTTTTGTACTACGTCTGGTTCCCTCACTTGAGTCCAAGCTGGCAGAACCTGTCCCATTCCTTGATAGATGATCGTTGGTGGTACCTGAGGAGCATTGATGTCGACTCCAATGCAGGCAATAGAGGTGATGTGTTCACTATTGGGTCCGACAGCTTGTGTATTACGTTTGTGTGCTCGAGGAGTTACACGTCGAACTCTGCGCTCATATGAGAGATCAAAACCCGATTCATCCATATTGAACATGCAGTGAGGGGGATAGAGTCTGGAGTCGATAACACGCTTTACCTGTTATATATCAGCAAATGACCAAGACTACTCCAAGATCAGATTCTAGACATAGAAATGGGATCATAGAGGAGCTCACCAGGGAATACCACGCTTTTCTTGTCTCTGGTTTGTCTGCTCGAAGTCTAGAAAGCTCTTGGTATGTGTTGTATTGAGAGGAGAGACGATCTCAATGACGAAGGAGGAAGCGTGAGGTCCAATTTTGACCAAGTGACCGTCCTACCGCAGCTTCTGCAAGCTCTTTCACAAACCGAGGGGTAAGAAGGGTTCCACGATTGGCATACTCATTGATCTTGTTGATAAGTCTGTATTCTTGGGGGATGGAGAGGGCTCGAGCGACATTGTTCCCTCGGGGGGAGTGAACTCCTTTGAAGCGGTTGTACAGGGTGGTTTTTGGGATGTTGTAGTGAAGTGAAACACTGGCAAAACTCTCAGAGGGATGCTTTTTCTTGTAGCGGGATGCAGCAAGCAAAAGATCAGGCATGTTTGTAGTAGAAGAGAGAAAGCATCATTCATATATCATGTGAAAGGACGTTCCGATTGGTGGTTGGTCCGTTCCCCGGTTACCACGAGTAGTCGTGCCTGGTGACTGCCCCCTTCGAACGTCGCACTGATGACACAGACCCTGAAGGTGGAAGAAGGGCTGGTCGCGTTCAAGGATTTGTAATGTGACATAGTGACTATTATCAATGAGATTGTCTTTGTTGGTTGATCTGTTGAGGTAATGGGGGTGTATGTAATCTGAGAACGCGTGGCAAAACATGCCGAATTTTCCCTATTTACATATCATGTACCCTTGGGGAAGCAAAATGGCCAGCCAGACTTGCGGGGTTTTCTGTCAAACACATCGCCTCGTTCACACCCTTTATCCGTCGGACCTTGATGGGAGCCTACCAGAAGAAGCTAGGCTAGTATCAAAGGTCAAATTTAGGTATATGAACGTGTCTGACCGGAGTGCACAGCAATTTTGATCCGGCCGGGCCGATTCACACGGAAATTACCCTCACAACTTGATGACCACGATGATTGCACGGACGATGATACCCTCACGACAAGGATCAGAGAAGGTCTTAATTACGTCTTTTCAAACGTTTTGGTACTAAATTACGCCTTTTCCGAGATGCTGGTCTTAAATACATCTTTTGGCTGGTAGAGGGGTCCTTTTTACACTCCCCCCAGTTAGGGTGGACTTTGGGCACCAAGTTAGGGGGGGTATCGTCCATTGTCAGGACCAGACGTTGGAAATCGTCTGCGTCTATGAGCTATGGCTAAAGGGCCTCGCAGGGAACAGACCTAGTGATGTAATTTATAGTTGTCACAGCCGTCGAACAACCACTCTTTAACAGACCGATGGTTGACAAACCTCGGCTAACTTGACGCTTCAAAGTCGATGTCTCACCCAACCAGGAGGGCGCAGACGTCGAAAGGAGTGTGACTATGGCGTACTTCGGCGTAGTTACTCTAACTAGGTTTTTGTTTTACTGATGGCGATGTATCTTGATTCAAATGTAGCTATCTCTAACTGTCTTATACTACTGACAACAATCAAGGATTGCTGAAGAATTTCAGGGATCTCCTCAGCTAATATTATCTACTCCCACTAGACGTTCACCCAACCCTCTCACGCTTCGACGTACTTCAACGCACTTCGTCCAACTTCCCTGAGTCCCCGGCCATCCTCCTCCTCCTTCGACTAACTCCGCCTAACATCGCCGCACTTCTGCTTCCATTGTCCCTACTTGGCCTAACTCCTTCTAACTTCACCGTACTTCTGCTCCCTTTGTCCCTGCTTAGCCTAACTCCATCTAACTTCACCGTACTTTGCTGTCCTTTGCTGTCCTTATGCTCCAGGCCCCCGTATGCCTTATTCTCCCGTTGTACGTCGCCGTAGTTGGTCTCAGATGTCCTGAGTTACGTGTAGAGTAAAGAGGTTAAGACTTGATAGGGGTTTGATGGTCAAAGGAGGGTCATTGTTGGTGGGATAATTGAGGTGTCACGATGTAGTTTGTGACACTTGGACAACGACGGTTAGTATGTTGTCCGTAGACTTGTGATGTGGTCGGACGACTAAAGTGACTTGTGAAGGATCCGGGCCGGTCAGTGTCACAATCTGTCACAATTGTCGTTTCTTCTTCTCTACTGACCGACGGTCGACAAACCTCGGCTAACTACGTTGTAGTGGGGCGTCGATGTCTCACTAGGACAGGGTACTCGTCGAGGAACTACGGCTAACTTTGCCGTAGTGATACGTCGAGTGGTAAATGATAAGATGATCGTCGATGAACTGCGGCTAACTTCGCCGTAGTACGTTGAACTGCTTGGTGGTAGCTCTCCTTAACTCGATGGTTGTAGCTACTGAATATATCGCTCGCTACTGACAACAATCAAGGATCGCTGAAGAAGTTCAGCGATCTGTAAACTATCTATACTGCTCCTCTCTTCTCATAGAACGTCCCTCAACCCCTGCACTGCCTCACGCTCAGTCCTCTTCGTTCAACTTCGCCGTACCTTCCCCTGTTCTGCTCTCCCTCGGTTCCCTTCTCCTAACTTTGCCGTAGTTCTCCGCTAGGCGGGGTTATCGTGACAAATACCCCTTTGGTTCTCGTAACTTCGCCGTAGTCGGTCTCAGTGGTTCGGGTGGTAGTTGGTGATGGTGAAAGGAGGGTTGGTGATGGTGGTTGCCAGGGGTGTTACGACGTAGTTCGTGACAGCCGCCCCCTCCTTAGGCGCGAACGTCCTCGTGAGCTTCGTATGCATGTAATGAAGGAAAAGACACTCAGCAGGTTGTAGGAGGAAATAATTGGTCATATACCAGCTGTTGGTAGATGGTACCATGGTTGGTTGGTAATGAGACAGCTAACTTCGTCATAAGTTCACCATGGTCGTTTGTCGTTACCCTTGGTAATTATGTTGTAAGTGAGACAGAGGTTTTGGGGTACAACAAACCTCGTCGAAGTTTGTCAGCGTATCCCTAATTTATATGAATGTGAGACACGTAGCGTGGGAATTTTGATCGTCGCCATGGTGTTTGTTGTTGCTGAGACACCTTGTTATGCGAAGTTACCAGCGCCCTGACGACGAGCAGTCATGTCAGTTATACTAAATACTCAGTACTTCGGCCCACTTCTTCTTTTTCCCCAATCCTTATCCTAAATCGTACTATCATCGTCTATCGATTCCCAGACTTTACCTTACCAAACATATCAATTGATATATTTACAATATGAGCACTCGCCCACAACTCGACGCCTATCAATCCTTTATGGATCGTTTCACCGCTGCCCGTTAGTTCACTCGTGCTGGTCATAAGCTAGATTGTCTCTGATTAACTCAGTCTCCCAGCAGGGGAATACCCCTCGCCAAGTGTTGTCCATGGGCTTCGGGTCCCCGGCTATCACCAATGGTTCACCGTCTGTCGCGACCCCTCCTGCCGCTGGAGCTTCTGCTGCAGTTCCTTCTGCCCCCGTGTCCCCCGCTACGGCTCTGACCCCTCTCTCCCTTGGCCAACAGGAGGTCAGACCTGCTCCTGTTGGCCCTTCGCAAGCTTTGGGTCAGTCTGCTACTGTGGTGGAGATTGATGATGACGATGAGGAGATGGAGGTTGTTGATAGTGATGAAGAGATGAGTGATGATGTTGATGCCGAGGAAACGGGTGGTGCAAGTGATGAAGAGGAGATGGATGATGTCGTTGATGATGGGGAGTTGGGTGCCGGTGCTGAGAACGATGGGACGGGGGTTGTGGACGTGAGTGGTGAGGTGGTGTTTGTGGATAGAGCCGCATGGGTGGCGGAGCTTAAGGCGCTGAGTCGTAAGTCTGACGTCGTGAATACCTGCGTGTTAGTGTTGACGTGTTTAGCTATCCGTATCACAAGGGGTTCCCCCGAAGCTCATATCACCAGTCAATATTCCGATGGTGACAAGCGCGTTGAGTACGCCCATAACTTGGAAGGGATCAAGGCCGAGAAACGTCCTTGATCGTCCCCCGCCCAGGACGAAACTCTCTTTCCTTCGGCGAAGAAGGCCAAAGGTGCTCGTAGTCGGTCTCCGTCTGTCCTGGAAGAAGTGTCCCCCTCCCCCGCAATGACGCCTTACGAGCACGTAAGGCGTCATTGCGGGAGCAGGAGAGGCTATGGAAGTTGTTCATCGACGAAAGGGAACGATGGGAGGTCGCCAGTGTAGATGAGTCGTGTGATAGATGTCGGTAGGTCTCTTCCACACAGTTTATACATCTGCTGATCAATAGCCACGAGATTATCACATATGGGAGGACAAAGTGGCCGTGTTTACGACCGGTCAAACCTCACAACCGCAGATCCCGTTGTGCTTCATTGTCACAGTCGTCGTTTCTTCTCTTCTACTGACCGACGGTCGACAAACCTCGGCTATCTACGTCGTAGTGGGCGTTGATGTCTCACTAGGACAGGGTACTCGTTGGGGAACTACAGCTAACTTCGCCGTAGTAATGCGTCGAGTGGTAAAATGATAAGGTAATCATTGATGAACTGCGGCTAACTTCGCCGTGGTGCGTCGAACTGCTTGGTGGTAGCTCTCCCTAACTCGATGGTTGTAGCTACTGAATATATCTCTCGCTACTGACAACAATCAAGGATCGCTGAAGAAGTTCAGCGATCTGTAAACTATCTATACTGCTCCTCTCTTCTCATAGAACGTCCCTCAACTCCTGCACTGCCTCACGCTTAGTCCTCTTCGTTCAACTTTGCCGTACCTCGCCGTATCCCCAACATCCTACTCCGCTAACTTCGCCGTAGTTCGTCTTACTTGCTCCATTCTACCATGTATCCCTCGGTCTCCTTCCCCTAACTTCGCTGTAGTTCTCCTCCAGGTGGGGTTGTTGTGACTAATCCTCCCTGGGTTCTCGTAACTTTGTCGTAGCCGGTCTCAGTGGTTTGAGGTTGTGATGGTTGGTGATGGATAGTGTTTTGGTGATGGTGAAAGGAGGGTCGCTGATGGTGGTTGTCAGGGTGTCACGACATGGGTCGTGACACTGACCGACGGTCAATGAACCTCGGCTAACCTGACATTTGGGTGTCACAATTGTCGTTTCTTCTCCTCTACTGACAGACTGTCATAACCCTCGAATATCTGTAAATACCACGTGCATATCATCCACTCAAGTCCAGTCAACTTTACTCAACTCGTCTCAACTCGCTCCATCGTACGACATGTGGATCACCATTCAACCTTAATCACCCTCCCATCACTGAGTCAACCTGACTCGACATTGTATACATCAATCACGTCATCTATCGTCATCTATCGTCATCTGTCGTCATCTGTCGTCATCTGTTGTCATTCCAAGCTCCGGCCGACATGTACCAGGTTCCGTGTCCTCGGTTCCGCTCAGACCGGACGAACTGATAAGCGAGGGTACCTCGGGAGCAATATTAGCGGGTTGGCCGGTCGGCATCTATTTCTGTCTATGAACCCGACCCAATCAACAATCAACAGAATCATCAATGATTGATAATTAGCCATAAATTCCTTAATTACTAATTAGTGCCTTAATTAGCCATCAATTATGGGTACCTCAATTAGTGATCAATCACGGGTACCTTAATTAGCGATCAATTGCGGGTACCTTAATTAGCGATCACGCCACTGACGTCATAGGAGAGTACGTACGTCTGTCAACGGTAGTACGACTCCCTCGGTTACCAAATAACTGGTTCTCCGGATCAATCACAGGATCAATCACCGGGTCAATCACCGGGTCAACCACAGGATCAACCGGTCAACCGATTGTCAGGATAGCCTTGTGAAAACACGTGTTTGAATATGATAAACACGCTACTGATCAATACACACCCGCTACTGATTGAGAAGTGTACGCCACTGATGAAGAGTACACACTAGTGATGAGGAGTACGCACGATCAGTCAGAGGTTTCGTCTGTTTCAGCAGTGCGGACGACTCAACCGAAAGAACCAGAAGGAAAACCACTTTACGAAGCATATTTAGTCTATATTCGAACCTCTCGAACCTCTGCCGAACCCGCAGGATTGAACTAGGTATTTTTGGGTCAAAATCTGCATAATGCGGGCGCTTAAGAAACACCCTCTGAACCCCCTGAAAGATCAGAGCTCATCTAATTCCCAGGCCTCAAGATCACTTCTCGCGGCTCCTTTATTCGTCTGACTTTTCAAGGGGTTTTCAGCCTTTGATGAGGAGATCTCTTTTGGGGCTTCTAGGATGAGTCAGAGGCTTCTGAAAATTCGTTTAAAACACTGCTTTTGATGCAGGGTTTCCTCAGGGTTTCCCCCCTCGAAGTAGGAGAGGAGAGGAAGGAGTTTTAGGCTCAGTTTGGTGGATTTTGTCTATAAATAGTGGTTCTAGCTCTCTGTTTGTTTCTCTGTCTCTCTGATCAATTGTCATCTTTGCCACCCACTTTCTACTCTAACTTATTTGTTGCCTTTAAGACTGTTTGAGACACGCCATTGCGGCTTCATCATCATCAGTCGTATATTCGTGACACAGACGGTCGACAAACCTTGGCTAACTACGTCGTAGTGGGGCGTCAATGTCTCACTAGGACAGGGTACTTGTCGGGGGAACTACGGCTAACTTCGCCGTAGTGATACGTCGAGTGGTAAATGATAAGATGATCGTCGATGAACTGCGGCTAACTTTGCCGTAGTTCGTCGAACTGCTCGGTGTAGCTCTCCTTAACTCGAAGGTTGTAGCTACTGAATATATCTCTCGCTACTAACAACAATCAAGGATCGCTGAAGAAGTTCAGCGATCTGTAAACTATCTATACTTCTCCTCTCTTCTCATAGGACATCCCTCAACTCCTGCACAGCCTCGCGCTCAGTTCTCTTTGCTCAACTTCACCGTACCTCGCCATATCCCCGATATCCTACTCTGCTCACTTCGACTAACCTCCCCTGCTCTGCTCTCCCTCGGTTTGCTTCCTCTAACTTCGCCATAGTTCTCCGCTAGCCGGGGTTGTCGTGACAAATTGTAACGGTACTGGAAACACGATGACTAAGTCGCAGGTTGGGTCGAACTCGATGGAACTCTCGTAGAAGTCTATGTATCTCTGGTGCTAATAGGTGGATCGTGTCTCCTCTGCAATCGATGTAGCCAAAGAATGATATTGGAGAATCAGCAAAGTTGGTACTTTGCTGATTGTACTATATACTGTCTACAGGTATCCGTGTCCTCCTCTCAGTCCTACTGCAAGCGTCTATGTACATACTTGGACAGGTGAAAAACCGCTTTTGAGCAAACCCAGTGGGGAAATCTCGAAAAGGGAAAACCCGTCCCTATCTACTGCAGCACTGCCTCCAACTCCCGCCGTTCTCTTTCCTAATCCGTCGAGTTCAATGGAGTTCTCTCGATTCGTTGTTACTCCGTAACAGTAGACCAGAAGAAACGGCAGAAGAGACGGAGAGGAGGATGTTGGAGGAATTAAGACAAAGCTTGGGACCATTGCCTGGTGCAATTGATACCCCCGAAGGATCCACCCAAGGGGATGAATTTTATCCACCCCTACGGCTTGAACCACCCCCCTAGCCAACCGGGTTATCAGAACCACCGACTGTACGGACAGGTTCAGAAGGGTCGGGACAAACTCCACAACCAAGGGAGAAGAACACGGAAGGTGGGCTAAGTTTGGCGGGGAGCAAAGAAGTAGGGAGAGCGGAGGAAGAGGCCACCACTCAGAAAATGATGCTGGCGATGATGAACATGATGATGGAGATGAACAGGGATATGATAGCAGAGAGGAGACGCCGGGAGGAACAGGAGAAGAAGAAGGATGTCATGAATAGTGATAAGGAATTCTGACTCATGCTCAGAATAGTGATAAGGAAATATGACTCATGCTAGGAACTGTGATAAGGATTGAAGGAAAATATGAGTCATGGTATTTAGCAGTTCAGCAGTGAGGCATTTACGTGATTGGCTGAAGCCTGGAAGGTTCAGCAGTTTAGCAGTGAGGCATTTATGTGATTGGCTGGAATTAGTTTCCCGCGGTGCACTCACTTTGAGGCATTTATGTGATTGGCTAGAAAATCCCTCACACGCTTTTTATTTAGTACACCTACTTTAGTTTTGAAGGGTATAAAAGGAGCACATCTCCCCCCTCTTTCTTCAGCAATGTATCTTCATCTTGAAGTTGAACTTCATCTTTGAAAGTCACCTAGTTGGTTCTAACCCAACACCTCAGTACCCTCAGTACCTAAGGCAGTCATCAAGCTCTACGAGCCAGAGACTAAAACCCTTCAGTACCCAAGGCAGTACTTTGCAACCGCAGTCTACCCGCAGGCGTGACAAAGGAGCAGGAGACAGTTGGGGGAATAGTTGAAGGGATCTCTGAAGGGGTACGATTCGCCATGGGGAGGCAAGCTTTGGCGACCCCAGGAGTAGCTGAGATAGGTGGAGGGATAAAACTTCCCCTCCCAGACCTTTGGAGAGGCGAGAGGTCAAAGCTCACCGCCTTCATCTCAGAATGTGAAGTTCACTTCGAAATCAACGCTCGCAAGTTCCCCACCGACCGAGTAAAAATCTTTTTCATGATCTCTCATCTACGCAAAACTCCTCTTCTTGCCGTCCAACCGGATTTGCCTAAAGACGATCCCCCCGAACACCTTCTAGACTATAAGAAGTTCATCCAATATCTCAAGACCAACTTTGGAGACCCTGATGAGGAGGGAACCGCCGCTAGGGGAATAAACGAGCTTCGACAGAATGGGTCGGCTTCAGCGTACTTTGCCGCCTTTCAACGATATGTAGCGGTGTTAGGATGGGGTGATGATGGGAACCTTGTGGACCGGGCAAAGAATGGACTGAAAAAGTCACTTGCTGGATGAAATCGCTTGCCATGGAAAGGTTTTCAAGACCGTCCGGGAGTTAATTGAGTTCGTGGTCCCCATGGACAATCGCCTGCATCAGCGAAGGGTGGAGAAGGAGAATGAGAAGAAGAGGAAGGAAACGAAGGACCAGGGGGAGAAGAAGGAGGAAGTAAATTGGGGAGGGGAACGGAGGAGCGAGGAGAAATGGCAATCTACGGCGAAGTTTGAGGGCTCGCAACCTAAGGGCACAAACGGGGGGAGGGCAATACCAACGGATGTAGACAAACTAGATCGTCGTTGGCCGAGACCCAGTGCAGATGAGGTTTTAAAGCGTTGGGAGGAAGGGAAGTGTACTGGGTGTGGAGAGAGAGGGCATTACAACGGGGATTGTCCAGTAATAGCAGCAAAGGTAAAGGCTGGGATCATCCCCTTACGATCTTTTGGACAAAGTGCTGGAGGAGAAGGGAGATTTAGCACGGGGGGAAACACCGTCCCTCTTGGAGATAGGAAGAAGATCAATGCAGTTGGAGGGGAGGAAGCAGGTTTTGCAGAGCGGGGGATGGACGAGGAGGAAAATGATGGGGACCCGTCACGATAGGCGAGACTCGGCGGGTCCGCACTCATATTCTCTCAGCCACTGTTCCTATTACCAGTAGAAAGAGCTGATGAGACCAGGTAACTGTGTATATAAATCCGTAAACACCACTCCGAAATGTATAAACGACTGTCATACCCTAATCCCTTCCACCTGTAACAACCAACCCAAATCTAACGTGTATGTCGAAGGAATCGAACTAACGGCCCTGTGGGACACTGGGGAAACCTGCTCATATATAAGTCCCAAGGCGGCCAGGAAGATTAGGAAGGAGAAGAGGAAATACCCCGTGAGTGTACCAGTTCACATGCTCAATGGCTCGGTTAGTGTGGCTGGACCCATTACGGAGTTTGTCGAAGTGAGTCTGGGTTTCGAGAAGTTAGGCGAGGTTCACCCAATTAAGCTGGATGTTACCACCCTTTGCGACGCGGATGTCGTGATAGGATGGGAATGGATGAGAGAAGAGAGAGTAATCCCGAATGGGGGAGCGAATACTATATCCTTCCCTATTCCCCAGACGAACAATGGGGAAAGCGCAGTGTCCTTTCCCCTACCCTTGCCGAGTGAAAGAGAAGAGTTATCCTCTCCCTTTCCACAGACAAAAGATGTCGCGAGCCTGGCAGCCATAGGGCTCAGGACTCGAACCGACAAGACAGACCTCCGCGGCGAAGATGAGCTCGAAGAGCTGAGCCTGGAGGAACAAGACGAGTTGTTCCAGGTAGTTCCTGAACAATACCACCAGTACATTGATGTATTTAACCCGAAGAAAGGAGGAGAGACTCTTCCCCCTTCGAGGTCCTACGATTTGAGGTTTGAGCTCAAGGAGGGGGCAAACCTGAAGGTCGCCTCCCTCTATGCTCAAGGAGAAGATCAGAGACGCGCGCTGAGAGACATACTAGATCGTGAAATTGCTGCTGGCCAAATTCGAGCAAGTAACTCGCCATACGGCTCACCAATGTTTATGATACCAAAGAAAGCCGAAGGGCAATGGCAAATGGTCATCGACTATCGAAAGCTGAACGAAGCGACCATACCAGATGCCTACCCTCTCCCATTAATAGGTCAGATCACCGAAGAACTTGGGAAAGCAAGATACTTCAGGAAACTGGACCTAATTGGAGCGTACCAATTGTTGAGGGTGACAGAAGGACATGAACACCTGACTGCTTTCAGGACACAGTATGGTATGTTCAAATCTCTTGTTGTTCGTGACGGGCTGCGAAACGCCCCGGCTGTCTTCCAACACTTCCTGAACGAGGTGTTAAGAGAACTACTAGGGAATGGAGTCGTGGTCTACATTGACAATATCCTCATTTATGGGAATACATTGGAGGAATTACGAGGAACTACGGCGAAGGTCTTTGAAGTGCTGCGGAAGGCGAGCTTGTACGTGAAAGCTAGTAAGTGCGAGTTTGAAAGAGATTCGGTGGTGTTTCTGGGTTTTGTGGTCTCTTCTCGAGGTGTATCGGTTAATCCAGAGTACATTGACGCCATCACATCCTTCCCACGTCCAAAGAATCTATGAGAGTCGAGGGGTTTCATTGGAGTTGTGAGCTATTACAGGCATTTTGTCCCCCACTTCTCGAAGATTGCTAGACCTATCAATGACTTGACAAGGAAGGAGGTACCGTTTGTATGGGGAGTTGAGCAGGAGTCAGCCTTCACAGAATTGAAAGCTAGGATGTGTACTGCGCCGGTATTAGCTCACTTTGACCCTACTTTGAAGACTATATTACAGACAGATGCCTCGTTCTTCGGTTGGGGTTTCATAATTTCACAGGTCAATACAGCTGGTCAAGAACACCCGGTAGCTATTGAGTCTGGCGCCTTCAATACGGCTCAGCTGAATTATACGGTAGGAGAGAAGGAGTTCCTTGCTGTAGTGGAGGGTTTTAGGAGAAGGAGACACTTACTATTGCAGGTAGAAACCACAGTCCTTACCGACCATTTAAACCTCAGAGGAATAAGTGTAAGGCTGTGCAGGGGTTGAGAGATGTTCTATGAGCAGAGAGGAGAAGTATAGATAGTTTACAGATTGCTGAACTTCTTCAGTGATCCTTGATTGTTGTCAGTAGTTAAAGATTGATAGATATTGCTACATCTAAACCGAGATACGTCGTCATCAGTAGAACAAAGCCGCAGTTAACGTAACTACGTCAAAGTACGCCGTAGTTACGTTAACTGCGGCTTTGTTCTACTGATGACGACGTATCTCGGTTTAGATGTAGCAATATCTATCAATCTTTAACTACTGACAACAATCAAGGATCACTGAAGAAGTTCAGCAATCTGTAAACTATCTATACTTC